ACTAACTAACTAATTTTGAAATTAATGTATAGGGGAGAGGGGGGCACCTTTGAACACTTTTTTCCTTCAAGCCTCATAAAATTTTTTATTTTATAATTTTTGGTTTCAAAAGGTGCCCCCCTCTCCCCTACAATTTTGCCTTTTTGCCACTTTCATTTGAATAGCAGCAATACAAAAAAATAATATAGTTAAAAGACATGAGAAATGCAATTTCTATAAACTCCGTCGTCAACGCCAACTCTAGATGGACATGATTCAAATCGAATTATTTCATATTCAATAACATGGAATTTTATAAATTTATTTAATTCAAAAAAAGTGTACAACTATACCTTTCATATGAGACCACTTTTATTTTAATATCTGCAATTCGAAAAACGTTATGGCAAAAAGAAATATGGTGTATAATTTATATAGACTCGTCGTCAGCGCCATCTATTGATGGTCATGATTTAAATCAGACACAGCAGCTTTTCGAGTGTAATTCTTGAACAGATTATCGCATACCTTACACATGCCACCGATTTCATTTAAATATCTAGAGCAGCGACAGTCAACCTGGTCTTAAATATTTAATTTCGCAGCATCAGCCTCAGGGATTCCATTAAATACTTAATATTTCACTATACTTAATTAAAATTACTTAATAACATGCAAAAATCCTAATAAATAAAAGCAGTTTATCAATAAACAAAACTGTGGATTAGGTGGGCGATAAGAATATTTTTCTATCACTCGAGGTGAATAAGTGGGTGGTAATTAAAAAAGGTTTTAACAAACGCCGTTTTTTATATTATTGTGTGGGCACAGATTTTCATTTCAATAAAAGTTTAAAAAGTGCATCGAGTGTTCAAATTTGTAATTTGTGTATACAAATAAAAAGTTAGTTTAAAAATGATAAGTAAAAGGCAACACCGACGAAATATCAAGAAAGAGAGAGGGGAATTGTTGAAGCGTTTCAAAATGATAGAACATAATATTTTGTCAGAAGAAACATCATCAATAATTTCTGCTTCGCTGTCTGAACATGACCAAGCGCTGTCCAATGTAGGAGAACATGAAAATGCACAAATGGATTTGTCAGAAAAGCTTGCAGTTTGGTTTACAGATCACAAGCCAACTGTTGAATGCACACAATCGCTTTTAAGAATATTAAAATCGGAAAGTCTAGATGTGCCACTTTCTGTTCGAGCCCTTATAGGAGCAAAAAATGCATGCCAGAGGAGAACGGTTTCTCCAGGGGAATATGTACATGTGGGGATTCAAAATCATTTACAAAAAATGATTCCATAATTTGTGCAGAAACAGATATGTTAATAATAGACGTTGGTATTGATGGATTGTCTCTCTTCAAGAGCTCCCCGATTGAAGTATGGCCAATATTAGGCCGGGTGCAAAATATTCCTAATAGTGGAGTTTTTTTAATTGGAGCCTACGTTGGACCAAAAAAACCATACAATATTAATTCTTATTTACATGATTTTGTTACCGAAATGTCTGAAATCATGTTAATGGGCATTACAGTTAATGGAAAGAAAATTCGTGTACATTTGCGGGCATTTATTTGTGACGCACCTGCTAAAGCATTTGTATGTGGTATTAAGGGCCACACTTCTTTCAATGGATGTACAAAGTGTCAACAAATTGGTAAACGGATTGACAACGTCAACACTTATTCAATATTTCCTGGAGACAGTAGAACTGATATAGGATTCCTGTCAAGGAATTATACAAATTATCATCTTCCCTTACATAGTGACACTGAGATGAAACTGGAGACTATGAGGGTACAAATGGTTTCACAATTCCCTGTAGATTGCATGCATGCTGTTGATCTGGGAGTTACTAAAAACATGCTTACACGAATTTACGAACGAAAGACAGTAGTTCCAGTTTCTTCCTCTTCGAGTTCATCAATATCAGAAATGCTTCATTCCATGTGCCGATTCATACCAAGGGAATTTGCAAGAAAGCCAAGGATGCTTCTCGAACTACCAAGATGGAAAGCGACAGAATTTCGTCAGTTTCTTCTCTATACAGGCGTTGTTGCATTAAAAAATAATATACCAAGTGAATTGTACGAACATTTCCTCTTGCTACATTGTTCTTATAGAATACTTTTATCACCTTTAAATGAACAGCAATTGGAAAAAATTCAACACATAATACAAGAATTTGTACAAACATTCCCTATTCTGTATGGAAGATCAAGCGTTTCCTACAACGTACATAATCTTTTGCATCTTTCAGATTGTGTTCGGCAATTTGGACCACTGTGTGACTTTTCGGCCTACACATTCGAAAACTTTATGCAACGTATTAAAGCTGCAATCAGATCCCCAAAACATATTTGTCAGCAAATTTTTAATTCATTTGAAAATTTCCCCATAAAAATAAAAGGGCCGCAACTAGGACTTATATATAAGAAAGGCAAAGTTAAATCCGTGCAGACAACCAAAGGGTATTTCAGTACTAAATGCCCTGATAATACGTGTTTGGTAAATGGAGCGACATTTTTGACCATAACAGAAATTATTGATGAATTTAAATTTAAAGCAAAATCATTTCAAGTATTGCACAATTTTTATAACTCTCCAATTGATTCACTCGATATTGACGTTGCCTTGGTTGAGCCGATTTATTGCGAAGAACAAATCTATGCTTTAGAAGATATTAAATGTAAAGTGGTAAAATTACCATATCAGAACAACTACGTTTTAATTCCAGAAATACACTCCTTTTGTTAAAAAAAAAACATGTTCAAAAAGCAAAAAATATCTGCACACCACCTCAGTATGGACATAAGCAACGAAATGCGTGACATTAAAGGTAAGTACTTGCGGAATTTGTCAATCAGTAATAATACAAGACTTTTGCCCAATTTCAGACTTAATAATACAAAAACAAAAAGACGACGATGAAAGATACAAAAAACTAGTGGGTAAATATTAATTTGTTATTTGAATTACTTAAAAAATATCTCATATATTTCAATAATTTATTTTAATAGATATAATCGAACACCAAAATATGGTAATAAGCAACATACTAGGCGAACAGAATGCTCTTTTAAAATCCATGGTTAAAAAATCTAATGCTGACATGTCAAAATTCGTTAACAAATTTCCCATTACATCTGACGAAGGCTTAAAAGAAATTGAAAATTCAATAAACGAAGAAAATGAAGATGAACTAGTGTGTATTAAGATTTTTTTATCATAAATAATTTAAGCACATATCATATTTATTTTTCAGATCGCGGTTATTAAATTTTTACTAGGTTCAAAGGGACTGATAAAAGGGCTTACTTCAATTATAAGCCAAAATTTATTAATAGAATATAATTACATAGGAATACACAACAAGAAACCCCTACGAGATTTTAAAAAGTTTATGGCCGTTTTAAATCGTAAGTATTACAAGTTTAAATATGTATATAACTAATGTAGTCTATTTTTCTTTTAGGCGCAACAAGTGAAGGAGGCGATTTTCAAAGGAATATAAGAATAGCCATTCGAAAGGCCAAAAATCGGCATTTTAGGGACGCAAGTGTCCAAAAGAAAAAAAAATAATATATAACCAACTAAATTTTATAATATATATCTTCACACCATATGGTTTTCGAATGTTTAAATTCCATTCATTCTTAATGTAAAGTGAATTATCCTTATTTATTTTTATCCTAGTATTTTGTGTTTGTTTTTTCACACCACATTTTCAAAATGTTTAAATTCCATTTTAATTTATGTTATTTGCTTCTCAATGAAAAAAAATTATCCTTATTTATATCATAGTATTTTTTGAAATCGCAATGTTTTAAAGACTGAAAATGTACAAATAAGTGTATTTAAAAATCTATATAATTAACATATTCATGTATGCTTCAAGCTTATGTAATTTAATACACAAAAGAGGCTAATTTTATTTACGATATTAATATAAATATATTGTGAACTCGTAGAGAATTAATCACTATATAAAAAAAATCTTTTGACTACCCATAAACTTAAAATGTATAAATTGAATTTTCATAACATAAAATAAAAATAATTAATTTTTTTTACCAACTTATATCACGGGTTACCTGAGATAAATAAATAAGTGGTTATTCTGGAGACGTTAGTATGGTGGGTCATAAGTACATATTTTTATTTGAAAAATATGTACTTAAATACGAAATATCAGTAAGTATTTTTTAAGTTCCTCCCCAGAACTAGTTATTAATGAACTTTTCATTTCTTCGAAATAAATAGTTAAATATGTGCTTAAAGAATCTCTTTAAGTAAGTACTTCCTTCTTAGGACATCCCCAGGTAAAAATAATGGGTGTGTAAGCAGATTGGTAAGTAGTTACCATTGCCAAAAATTGCTTATTAAACCCATTATTTGGTAAGAATTTTTTTGCTGGGTGGCGCCCGATTGATTACAGAATAATCAAAATAAAAACAAAATAAACATATATATATATTATTGTTTACTATATATTCATATATTTGTGTGATTCTTTTAGAAAGAAAAAACTAAAGACATTTTTTTAACACTACACAATTTATTGTCGAAGTCATTCTACAATATATATATTTAAATATATATATATATATATATTTAATATATATATATATATATATATGCTTTCGTTTCCCGTTCCTCTATATATAGTAATTTGTTCGAGACATTACATCTGGAATTCATTAACAATGCATTAGAATAATAAAATGGAACGGATGGCTTAGGCTGCGCTCAATAAAGACATGTTGTAGGACAAATTGTCTATTTAATATTCAAATGTTGTTCTAGTGGGATACGAAAAAGAATATACAATGCAAATGGGGAAAATGCTTAAAATTAAATTTATACAAAAAAAAAAAATCACAACTACGAGGTTTGCTCAAAAATGAATTGCGGATTTAAGCAGGTGTTTTCCTAACCATAAATAAAATATTATTTTTTAAAAATACAATTGTACGCTATTTTATTTTTTGTTTAAGGTTTTCATAGACCATGGCCCCGAATACAGAAAGTCGCATAACCGGTGTCTTGAATGAAAATGATACCGATACCATCGATGGAGGCTTGGCCAAAGATATAACACCATTGAAAGGGGCCGAGAAACGAAAAGTCGAATTGGTCTGGTTCAATATAATCGTATTTGTGTATCTATCGTGTAGTGCCTTCTATGGGGCATATCTTTTTTTTGCAAGAGCTTATAAATGGCAAACTTATATATGGTGTAAGTATATAATCGGAATAATTGTTTTTTTTTTTTTTTTGTATTTTTATAATATTTACATTCTCTATTGCAGTCTTATTCACCCTGTACATGACAGCATTTGGCATTACGGTGGGTGCGCACCGTTTGTGGTCACATCGTTCGTATAAGGCTAAATTACCGCTGCGTTTAATATTGCTCTTCTTCTCGACAATGGCTTTTCAAAATTCCATCTATGAATGGTCACGCGATCATCGGGTCCATCATAAATTCACCGAAACCGATGCTGATCCGCATAATGCTATGCGTGGTTTCTTTTTCTCGCATGTCGGCTGGTTGCTGTGCAAAAAACATCCCGACGTTAAGACAAAGGGCAAGACAATTGATATGTCCGATTTGGAAGCTGATCCGATGCTAATGTGGCAGCATAAGTAAGTTGACCCATATTTATTTCTGATTTTTTTTTAAAGAATATTAAGAAAGAAGGCTTACCAAAGGCGTGGATTTTTTAAGACTAATTATTCAAGAGTCATACAAGGCGTGGATTTTTTAAAGAGTAGTCTTTCAAGGCTTTCCAAAGGAGTGGATTTTTTAAAGAGTAGTTTTTCAAGGCTTTCCAAAGGAGTGGATTTTTTAAAGACTAATTTTTCAAGGCTTACCAAAGGCGTGGACTTTTTCAAGACTAATTTTTCAAGGCTTACCAAAGGCGTGGACTTTTTCAAGGCTTACCAAAGGCGTGGACTTTTTCAAGACTAATTTTTCAAGGCTTACCAAAGGCGTGGACTTTTTCAAGACTAATTTTTCAAGGCTTACCAAAGGCGTGGACTTTTTCAAGACTAATTTTTCAAGGCTTACCAAAGGCGTGGACTTTTTCAAGACTAATTTTTCAAGGCTTACCAAAGGCGTGGACTCTTTCAAGACTAATTTTTCAAGGCTTACCAAAGGCGTGGACTTTTTCAAGGCTTACCAAAGGCGTGGACTTTTTCAAGGCTTACCAAAGGCGTGGACTTTTTCAAGGCTTACCAAAGGCGTGGATTTTTTAAAGAATATTTTTTCAAGGCTTACCAAAGGCGTGGATTTTTTAAAGAATATTTTTTCAAGGCTTACCAAAGGCGTGGATTTTTTAAAGAATATTTTTTCAAGGCTTACCAAAGGCGTGGATTTTTTAAAGAATATTTTTTCAAGGCTTACCAAAGGCGTGGATTTTTTAAAGAATATTTTTTCAAGGCTTACCAAAGGCGTGGATTTTTTAAAGAATATTTTTTCAAGGCTTACCAAAGGCGTGGATTTTTTAAAGAATATTTTTTCAAGGCTTACCAAAGGCGTGGATTTTTTAAAGAATATTTTTTCAAGGCTTACCAAAGGCGTGGATTTTTTAAAGAATATTTTTTCAAGGCTTACCAAAGGCGTGGATTTTTTAAAGAATAAGCTTACCAAAATATTTTTTCAAGGCTTACCAAAGGCGTGGATTTTTTAAAGAATATTTTTTCAAGGCTTACCAAAGGCGTGGATTTTTTAAAGAATATTTTTTCAAGGCTTACCAAAGGCGTGGATTTTTTAAAGAATATTTTTTCAAGGCTTACCAAAGGCGTGGATTTTTTAAAGAATATTTTTTCAAGGCTTACCAAAGGCGTGGATTTTTTCAAGGCTTACCAAAGGCGTGGACTTTTTCAAGGCTTACCAAAGGCGTGGATTTTTTAAAGAATATTTTTTCAAGGCTTACCAAAGGCGTGGATTTTTTAAAGAATATTTTTTCAAGGCTTACCAAAGGCGTGGATTTTTTAAAGAATATTTTTTCAAGGCTTACCAAAGGCATTGATTTTTTAAAGAATATTTTTTCAAAGCTTACCAAAGGCGTGGATTTTTTTTTCGGCCTGGATTTTTTTCAAGGGTAATTTCGGCGTTGTTTTCGAAATAATTAATGTTAAGGTGTTTGGTTGCAATTTCGATTAATTTTTATTTCATTAATGCCAACTTTCAATATGGGCCAATGGCTCGTACCAAAGGTCAATTCAGGGGTAATCAATATTTATACCAAAGGGGATTTACCAAAGGCGTGCTTACCAAAGGCTGGATTTTTTAAGGCTTACCAAAGGCGTGGATTTTTTAAAGGGTAATTTCGGCCTGGATTTTTTTCAAGGGTAATTTCGGCCTGGATTTTTTCAAGGGTAATTTCGGCCTGGATTTTTTTCAAGGGTAATTTCGGCGTTGTTTTCGAAATAATTAATGTTAAGGTGTTTGGTTGCAATTTCGATTAATTTTTATTTCATTAATGCCAACTTTCAATATGGGCCAATGGCTCGTTCAAGGTCAATTCAGGGGTAATCAATATTTTATGGGATTTGAGTGCATCAACATCTGCAGTCGGCACGTGTTGGTGATACCATTAAATATATACATATATAAATGTAATTATCATATTTAATTCATGTATTTATTTAAATGCCACATTTGTTATGAATGTGTATATTAGTGTTGAATATATATATATATATATATATATATATATAGATATATATATGATTCTTAAAAAAAAATGAATATGAATTTGTTACACCCTCGATATTTTCCCAAATTTCATAACAATTTTTGTGGAACTATCAGATGCATAAGTTTCCTTTTTTGAAATGAAAAAAATATTGTTTTGAGGACTTAAAGCGTGGTAATTTTTTGTTGAGGGTCTTTCTGAGCTATGGGAGCGAATTTTTTAATAATATATTTTGAGGGACTATCGGAGTTATGAGTGTCAATTTTTTAAATAATACATTCTAATGTAATATCATGTATATATTGGCGATTAATCATTTAGGGGAAACCCTTATGATCTTTCCTCCAATAATTTATAAATAATTAATGATTTCAATCGGTAGACGTCATTTAAGTGAACTGGATATTATATTATTCGGATTATTGCATGATTATTATATTTTACAAAATGTAAATATTTGTATTTAATTCACGCAATGACGAAATCGGTTATTCCACAACAAAACTTGTTTTTTTCGACAAGAAGAAAAAACGATTTATATCGTTGGAGACCTTGAACTTTTTTTAATTAAAACCAATCCAGCTAAAAAAATTATTTGAAAAAATAATTTTCAAGAATCCATACTTATAGCCATGCCTTAAAAATAATTTTAAAAAATCGACATCTAAAGCCAGTCCTTGAAAAATATTTTTTAAAAATCCACGCCTTTAGGTAGGTCTTGAAAAACAATTTTTAAAAATCCACTTATAGCTCTAATAGTCCTTCAAAAACATTATCCTTATTTTTATCTACATCTGCTTTTATCTCTTCCAGATACTATGGCATATTGATGCCTCTACTGTGCTTCATTTTCCCCACTTTACTGCCAATGTATTTGTGGGATGAAACCTTTGTCAATGCCTGGCATAACACAGTTTTGCGTTGGTTTTTCTTGGTCAATGGAACCTGGTGTATTAACAGTGTCTGTCATATATTCGGAACAAAGCCATACGATAAGTATGTCTCAAATTTTTTTCAATTAATCAAATTTTTAATATTTTTTACTTTAATTATTTTAGGAATTACAACCCAGCTGAAAATGCCCAAATATCCCTGTTTACTGTTGGCGAATGTTGGCACAATTATCATCATGTCTTCCCGTGGGATTATAAGGCAGCCGAATTCGGTGGATCCTTCAACAATTTCAGTGCTGCCTTTATTGAATTTTTTGCGAAATTCGGTTGGGCCTATGATATGAAAACGGTGCCGCCGCATGTCATACAGAAGCGTGTTCTACGTACCGGTGATGGTAGCCATCCAGTATGGGGTTGGGGTGACAAAGATCAAACGGGTGAAGAAAAGAAATCGGCCATAATTCTGAATAGGGAGCTATAATATTGAAATATATATTATACACAACTATATATAGGTTCAAATATGTACTTAATGTCATTCCATTTTTATACTTAATTATTTTCATATTTAAATTTGTATTTGTTTAATTTAATTTTTTTCATCATTAAAATAAACCCCTGTTAATGAGGAATGGGTTACATATATTAAAAAAAAGTATTTTGTTTAAATAGGGTTTCACGGCCAAGGGCCATCCATACAAGGCGTGGATTTTTTAAAGACTAATTTTTCAAGGGTAGGCCATCCATACAAGGCGTGGATTTTTTAAAGAATCATTTTTCAAGGGTAGGCCATCCATACAAGGCGTGGATTTTTTAAAGAGTAATTTTTCTAGGGTAGGCCATCCATACAAGGCGTGGATTTTTTAAAGAGTAATTTTTCAAGGGCCATCCATACAAGGCGTGGATTTTTTAAAGAATCATTTTTCAAGGGCCATCCATACAAGGCGTGGATTTTTTAAAGAATCATTTTTCAATGGTAGGACATCCATACAAGGCGTGGATTTTTTAAAGAATCATTTTTCAAGGGCCATCCATACAAGGCGTGGATTTTTTAAAGACTAATTTTTCAATGGTAGGACATCCATACAAGGCGTGGATTTTTTAAAGAATCATTTTTCAAGGATAGGCCATCCATACAAGGCGTGGATTTTTTAAAGACTAATTTTTCAAGGATAGGCCATCCATACAAGGCGTGGATTTTTTAAAGACTAATTTTTCAAGGATAGGCCATCCATACAAGGCGTGGATTTTTTAAAGACTAATTTTTCAAGGATAGGCCATCCATACAAGGCGTGGATTTTTTAAAGAATCATTTTTCAAGGGTAGGCCATCCATACAAGGCGTGGATTTTTTAAAGAATCATTTTTCAAGGGTAGGCCATCCATACAAGGCGTGGATTTTTTAAAGACTAATTTTTCAAGGGTAGGCCATCCATACAAGGCGTGGATTTTTTAAAGACTAATTTTTCAAGGATAGGCCATCCATACAAGGCGTGGATTTTTTAAAGAATCATTTTTCAAGGGCCATCCATACAAGGCGTGGATTTTTTAAAGAATCATTTTTCAAGGGCCATCCATACAAGGCGTGGATTTTTTAAAGACTAATTTTTCAAGGGCCATCCATACATGGCGTGGATTTTTTAAAGACTAATTTTTCAAGGGCCATCCATACAAGGCGCGGATTTTTAAAGACTAATTTTTCGAGGGCCATCCATACAAGGCGTGGATTTTTTAAAGACTAATTTTTCAAGGGCCATCCATACAAGGCGTGGATTTTTTAAAGACTAATTTTTTAAGGGTAGGCCATCCATACAAGGCGTGGATTTTTTAAAGACTAATTTTTCAAGGGTAGGCCATCCATACAAGGCGTGGATTTTTTAAAGACTAATTTTTCAAGGGTAGGCCATCCATACAAGGCGTGGATTTTTTAAAGACTAATTTTTCAAGGGTAGGCCATCCATACAAGGCGTGGATTTTTTAAAGACTAATTTTTCAAGGGTAGGCCATCCATACAAGGCGTGGATTTTTTAAAGACTAATTTTTCAAGGGTAGGCCATCCATACAAGGCGTGGATTTTTTAAAGACTAATTTTTCAAGGGTAGGCCATCCATACAAGGCGTGGATTTTTTAAAGACTAATTTTTCAAGGGTAGGCCATCCATACAAGGCGTGGATTTTTTAAAGACTAATTTTTCAAGGGTAGGCCATCCATACAAGGCGTGGATTTTTTAAAGACTAATTTTTCAAGGGTAGGCCATCCATACAAGGCGTGGATTTTTTAAAGACTAATTTTTCAAGGGTAGGCCATCCATACAAGGCGTGGATTTTTTAAAGACTAATTTTTCAAGGGTAGGCCATCCATACAAGGCGTGGATTTTTTAAAGACTAATTTTTCAAGGGCCATCCATACAAGGCGTGGATTTTTTAAAGACTAATTTTTCAAGGGCCATACAAGGCGTGGATTTTTTAAAGACTAATTTTTCAAGGGCCATCTATACAAGGCGTGGATTTTTTAAAGACTAATTTTTCAAGGGTAGGCCATCCATACAAGGCGTGGATTTTTTAAAGAATCATTTTTCAAGGGTAGGCCATCCATACAAGGCGTGGATTTTTTAAATACTAATTTTTCAAGGGTAGGCCATCCATACAAGGCGTGGATTTTTTAAAGACTAATTTTTCAAGGGTAGGCCATCCATACAAGGCGTGGATTTTTTAAAGACTAATTTTTCAAGGGTAGGCCATCCATACAAGGCGTGGATTTTTTAAAGACTAATTTTTCAAGGGTAGGCCATCCATACAAGGCGTGGATTTTTTAAAGACTAATTTTTCAAGGGTAGGCCATCCATACAAGGCGTGGATTTTTTAAAGACTAATTTTTCAAGGGTAGGCCATCCATACAAGGCGTGGATTTTTAAAGACTAATTTTTCAAGGGTAGGCCACCCATACAAGGCGTGGATTTTTTAAAGACTAATTTTTCAAGGGTAGGCCATCCATACAAGGCGTGGATTTTTTAAAGACTAATTTTTCAAGGGTAGGCCATCCATACAAGGCGTGGATTTTTTAAAGACTAATTTTTCAAGGGTAGGCCATCCATACAAGGCGTGGATTTTTTAAAGACTAATTTTTCAGACCTATATGAGGCGTTGAATATTTTTTCAAAGCCTATATGATGCGTGGAATACTTTTTCAAGGCCTATGTAAGGCGTGGAATATTTTTTCAAGGCCTATGTAAGGCGTGGAATATTTTTTCAAGGTCTATATAAGGCGTGGAATATTTTTTCAAGGCCTATGTAAGGCGTGGAATATTTTTTCAAGGCCTATGTAAGGCGTGGAATATTTTTTCAATGCCTATGTAAGGCGTGGAATATTTTCTCAAAGCCTATATAAGGCGTAGATTTTTTAAGAATATTTTTTCAAGGCGTGGATTTTTTTAAGAATATATTTTCAAGGCGTTGAATTTTTTAAGAATATTTTTTCAATGCTTGGATTTTTTTTAAGACTTGGATTTTTTTAAGAATATTTTTTTAATTCGTGGATTTTTTAAAGAATATTTTTTCAATGTGTCGATTTTTTAAAGAATATTTTTTCAAAGCATGGATTGTTTAAAGAATACTTTTTCAAGGCCTATATAGGGCGTGGCTTTTTTAAAGAATACTTTTTCAAGGCCTATATAAGGCGTGGATTTTTTTTAAAGAATACATTTTTAAATCTATTTACCGAATACCTTGACAAAAATTCCATTCCGCAATTAAGTAAATATTTACATTTTTTGTTGTCAATTAAATAATCAGCATCTAATAACCTTTCGTTTGGCTTTGGACTTTAGCATCTTGTTTGGCATAACAGGTCCCCAGCTTCAAATACAAACTGGAGATGCGTTTCGTAACGCGGTTACTCTCCGTCTTTTTGTGACCGATTTCAATGAACTGAACGTTTTATTTTTTCGGTTTGTGGTTTTATATCGACAGGTTGTTAATAATACCAATGGGTAATATTTTGCATAAATATCGCAAAATTGTATTTGACGTCAGGCAGCGGACATCAGCAGCGTCGATATTAAATGCATTTTGAAGTTTTAACTGTTTTTTGTTGGTCCATATTTTTTATACCCTTCACCACACTGTGGTACAGGGTATTATGTCTTTGTGCATATGTTTGTAACAGGCAAAAATAATCGAGATAGACCCATGGTTCCTTTTGAGAATATGCATAGAAACACTTTCTAAGTCGATTTATGCATGTCCGTCCGTCCGTCTGTCCGTCTGTCTGTCCATGTTAAATTGTAAACAAAGTACAGGTCGCATTTATGATCCGAATTGGATGAAATTTGGCATAGGTCACTTATTCGGCCCAAGGACGAACCCTATTGAAATTGGGAAAAATCGGTTCAGATTTAGATATAGCTCCCATATATATATTTAACCGATTTAATGTAAACGGTCCCTATATATCTTTCGATTTGCACGAAATTTGGTACAGGCTAATCATTTAGGTCTATAATGATGTCTGCCAAGTTTCGTGAAAATCGGTCCAGATTTAGATATAGCTCCCATATATAGTTTCGTCCGATTTCAGGTAAATGGTGCCCCAAAGTCCCTATATATCTTTTGATTTGCACGAAATTTGGCATAACGTACTGAATTAAGCCTAGAGTGATGTCTGCCAAGTTTCGAGAAAATCGGTCCAGATGTAGATATAGCTCCCATATATAGGTTCGTCCGATTTCATGTAAATGGTGCCCCAAAACCCCTATATATCTTTTGATTTGCACGAAATTTGGCATAACGTACTGAATTAAGTCTGAAGCGATTTCTGCCAAGTTTCGAGAAAATCGGTTCAGATTTAGATATAGCTCCCATATATAGTTTCGTCCGATTTCATGTAAATGGTGCCCCAAAGTCCCTATATATCATTCGATTTGCACGAAATTTGGTACAAACTAATCATTTAGGTCTAGAATGATGTCTGCAAAGTTTCGTGAAAATCGGTCCAGATTTAGATATAGCTCCCATATATAGTGTCGTCCGATTTCATGTAAATGGTGCCCCAAAGTCCCTATATATCTTTTGATTCGCACGAAATTTGGAACAGCCTATTCATTTAGGTCTAGAATGATGTATGTAAAGTTTCGTGGAAATCGGTCCAGATTTAGATATAGCTCCCATATATAGTTTCGCCCGATTTCATGTAAATGGTACACCAAAGTCCCTATATATCTTTCGATTTGCACGAAATTTGGCATAACGTACTTAATTGAGCCTAGAAGGATGTCTGCGTTGTTTCGTGAAAATCGGTCCACATTTAGATATAGCTCCCTTTTATTAAAGATTGATTTTAAGTACTTGACGCACCAAGGAACCAATAGGAACAAAACGTTCTGAAATTAGTACAACGTATCCTGTGACAAGTTTGTTTGAAATCGCTTAATATTTGGCCCGATATCAAGTAAATTGGGCCGCAAACTCCTCATGTTAGTCAGTTT